ATATATGTATATATGGCATCCACCCTGTGACCCAGCAGGTTTCATTTCTAAGAGGAGAAAGCCACAAAAACATGGGATTATACCGAGCAGACTTACCTATCCAGGTTTACAGCTAAAGGCGTCACAACTGCCCATCGGGAAGCAGGGCCAAGCAGCTAGAAGAAAACGGAAAGGGTGGATCCACAAGAGGAGAGACTCTCAAAGCTGCCAAGCCAAGAAATCAAACTGGACAGAAAGCAGAAACCACAGGATTACAGTTCTAGAGTGTTCACAAACCCATAAAACCAATCCGGGCCAACAGAAGACAGCGGTTGCATCCAGGGAAGAGAAGACCATAGAGGACCTGGTTTGCCAAGAAATGCTTGGACAGGCAGGAAGAAGGCGTTCCCAGCTAGGGAGGAACCTGGGCAGAATCTCACACCTGACCTCGTTAAAGGGACCCCATGACTTTAAAGGGACCCCACTGTTTCACAGAACTGTTTCTGAAGGCTCTGAGTATCTGAGGCAAACCCGCTCCCTTTACAGCAGCTTCTCTTTGGGCCGTGTTCAGCTTTTAATTCTATAGCAGCATTTCTCCCTAAGACAGTAGAGGGTTTGTACCAACTGATAAATTGCCGTGCTTGGTACTCATTCAAATAACTTGAAACTTTTCAATCTTTTTTTCCTCCTTAAAAAATAAAAGCTACAGATTCTCGTGGACACCGGAAGCAGCAACTTTGCGGTGGCGGGGGCCCCACATCCCTACATAGACTCCTACTTTGATTCAGAGAGGTGAGTGGCGCACACACGGCTGCGGTGGCTGGCTCTGGGGGACCGCCTGGATTGGCATCCTTTAGAATGTACTAGAACAGAACAAGCAGAAAGCTGTCTGTCTCGTTTAAGGGAGCTGTGTATGTGCCTGTATGTTTGTGTACCATATGTACCTAAATGCACACATATGTCGAAATGCACACATATATGTCTATCTCATTGAGCATCTGGTTCTCCTAAAAGCCTTGGTATGTTCACATGAAATTCGCGTTTTGAAATTTCAAGTACAAGTTTGTTGGTTAGACCAGGGTTGCAGGAGGCTCACGAACCTTTGCTATTTATTATGATCCAAGTAGAAGCTGTGGAAGGGGAATTGCATACAGGAGTGTGAGGCTGTCCGAGGCAGAGGCGGAGTGATGGTCGGTCTCCAACCCCCAGCTCCGGGCATGCGTCTGCGGCTACCCATCTGCACTGAGTCCTGTAGCTCAGGAGAGGTTTGGGTGTGGTTCACGGGAACCAGTGGTGCCAGGTGTTTCTGGGAAAGAAATCTGTGACTCATGGGAGGTTGTATCTCTCCACCTCACTGGTGACAGACGGAGTAAAGGTTGCCATCCAAGTCCACCTTGATGAGCCAGTGAGTTTACTGGGGTTCCTTCCAGGAGTGTGGCTGACCTGGACAACTACAATGCAAAACGTCCACCCAGCATGAGTGACATCCTGCAAAGGCCGCACCACCAGAGTTCCGTGCACGGCCTGCGGGCAGCTCCACTCCAGAAGAGTCTTTTCTCCCCGGCACCTCAAAGGGGGTGGGGGATGGGGCTTGTGAATCTTGCAAGGAAGATTTAGAGCTTCCTCAGTATTGTGAGTTTCTTGTGAGTTTCATGAATAATCTACTGTACCTTCTAGGTCCAGAATGTTCCAATCCAGAGAAACAGCCAAGAAGGGGTAATGATGGGGTGGAAAGGAAGACTGGGACCCAGCGACGGGCTTGAACATAGCCAGCTTCCCCCACTACCAGGACTCCCAGTTTTGAAGGAGGCCCAAGTAGGATGCAGGAAGGGCCCCCAGCAGCCTGGTGTCCATGTCTAGTTTAGAAGCCCTAGGATCTTCAGTTACCTGCTTCTGAGAACCTGAAACCATTTTAAAGCTGTACACATTTTGAATTCTCTTCCATTTTTCTGAAACTAAACCTTAAGCTCAGCAAGCCAAACAAGTGAGCTGACTAGCAAGGGTTTGATTTTCAGGGTCATGAGCTGTCTGTAGGGTGACCCCTGCCACCTCAGAGCCCCCTCCTGCACGTCCTTTACGTCTCCTCGCTTCTTCCTCAGCCATAGCCCTTTGTTCTGGGGTCCGAAGGGAAGCTCCAGCAGAGGAAAGGGGGACAGAAATGAAAACTGCCGAGCACTTTATTAAAGTCGTGTCTTGCAGAGCGGGGAAGAAGTTGCAGAGGAAGGCCACCCACCCGTGCTGGTCCCATCCACACGACATCTCGGCTCTACTCCAGTGACAGAAACATCACTATTTGCACAGCTGAAACTACCCGCTAAGGAGAGGGCAGAGGCTGCCAGTGCCAGGTGGCACCTCAGCACCTCAGAACGATGGGCCAGCCCCTCCTTCACGGAACTTAGAGCTTCTGTAGTAATCCACTTAGTGATAAGATTTCAGGGTTGATTCCAGGCACAACACCTGTCTGGTGATTACTTTGGAAGCAAGGCGGTTGATAGACACCCAGAAGTTGTTGCTGTTGCCATGAACATGTGTGTAGAGTGGGTGGTGTTTCTGTGTGTGTGTGTGTGTGTGTGTGTGTGTCTGTGTGTGTGTGTGTGTGCCAGTCGGGTTGGGCTAGGATGATTTCCCGAGTGGTTCCCCCAGCCCTCTGTCTTTGTACTGCCCCCATCCCCCTCCCATCCTGTGCTCTGGACTGCTGTTCCTGGGACAGGACAGAGAGTTGCTCCAGATCCCTCATATGTCCTTGCATCCTGGGAGGCCAAGGAGTGAGGAGCCTACCTGAGTTCCACTTTCTTTTTTTAAAAAAAAAATTTTATTTAATATTTTTATTTTATGTGTATGAGTGTTATGCCTGCATGTAAGTAAGTGCACCTGTGTCGTGCAATGCCTGTGGAGGACAGAAGAGGCTGTTAGGATCCCCTGGAACTGGAGTTAAGGACAGTAGTTAGCTGCCATGTGGGTGCTAGGATTCGAGCCCAGGTCTTTTGCAAGAATAGTGTTCTTAACTGCTGAGCCCTCTCTCCAGCCCCCTGAGTTCCACTTTCAATACCAGCAGCTCCCACACCTTAGCCCAGCACCCTCTTCCTGCAACAAATGCCTGTAATATCCCAACATGAAACTGAAGATAATGTATCTACCTGTGCCCATAATTCTGATGACCTTGAGTTAATGCAAGACTCTCATCTGAAAACTTGACATGCCCTCAAACATGTCAAGCCGCAACATAATCCTGCAAGTGGAAACTCCACCCCTGATCTTGTGTAAGGGGGGCTGGTCACAACACAGGTGCACTAAAATGACCTGTATTCATACTGTGTATGTGACGAAAATTACTTTTGTAGTTAGACTTTGAGCCCCTCTCCAGAGTCTGTCAATATGTATATACAAACATTCCCAAATCCTCAGTTAGAAATGTCCGAGGTATTTGGGACAAATTGCACTAAGCCTAGATAGAGGGATGAAAATGAGACGGTGTGAGTGAGTCCTCAGGACTGAGGCCATCCCCTGGCTGGCCACTAAGGTGCGTTAAGGAGAGATTGAAGGCTGTGCACATGCACTCGTTAGGCTGATGGAGACTGATACCCAGCGCCTGCTGAGGGACGTTTCCAAAATGGTGAAGAGCCCTGGTGAAGTGGGGCTGGAGAGATGGGTCAGCAGCTTAGAGAACCGGCTGCTCTTGCAGAGGATCAGGGTTCAATTCTCAGCACCCACATAACTAGCAACCAGTTCCAGGGGATCCAACGCCCTCTTCTGACCTCCGTGGGCAGTGCATGACATGGGTACGTTTATACACATGCAGGCAATACACTCATACATATAAAATAAAAATAAATAAAAATTTTAAATTTAAAAAAAGGAAAGAAAGTGTCATCTGCAATGTTCACTAGTCATCAATGCCTAATGACTAATGTGTGTTAAGTCTGTCAGTAATGCTTAGGGCGCACGAGAAAGGGATGCCACTCCCGGGGCTCAGACAGACAAACTTTCCACCCTGTGTATGCCCAGGGCCTTTGGGAAGCTGTGAGGCAGGGGACAGTTCTCAATTTTACATGATTCCTTGCACCTTCTAGAACAGTAGCCGTTTTGGCACTGACCAGTGTCATCATTTCCCAGACCTGCCCCAGGGGGTAGCACGTTCCCCTCCAAGAACCGCTCCTCCAGCACACCAGCTCTGCAGTGCATCCACTGCTGGGTTCTGGTCTGGTCCATAGATTTCTCAGTTCCCCGTACTGGTGGGGTGGACATACAGAGGGAACATAGATGTAGAAGGATTTGGAGGAGGAGGACGCTTGGAGCAGGTGCAAAGCCCGCCCTCCCCAAGATGTAATTTCTTATCGCACATCTGTGGGTATAAGATCCGGCAGACGGAAGCGGCAAAGCCCGGGTCAGGTATTGAGTTGGGGTGCTGTGGACGACCTGGGGCCAGTGCACAGGTAGCACCGGGGTGGGAATGTCCAGCCAGGAGGCAAATATTTGGCAGTTCTTGATAGCTTTGTTCCCAGCCTCACCAAGGCCAAAGTGCGCCTCTCCACACAGGCAGTATTTGGCATGCCCACGCAGATCCTCGCAGGGGCAAATAATAGTCACCACCGCCAATATGTGTGCAGGGTGTAACCAACTGTAAACAACTCACATCTTTCTCACAGACTGTGTTTGCTGTTTGTATGAACCCTGGTCCTTACCCCGGGCTTCCACAAGAGACATTTTTCTGCCTTTCCTTTCCTTCCTTGTTCAAATGAGCCTTGTGCCTCTAGCCAGGTGTGTGAGAGGTGAGGGCAGAGGGGTCCCTTTATCCATACCTGCAGGCTGGGCTTCCCCGGCCTGTCCGCATTTGCATCAGTAGAAACTCCAGGGCTGTCCTCTCACTGCAATGGCTGTCTTTTGTCCTAGTTTGGTTTCTTTGTTGTTGTGATAAAAACAACTCTGTCCAAAAGCAACTTGGGGAGGAAAGGGTTTATTTGGCTTCCACTTCCCCGTCACGGTCAGTCATGGAGGGAAGTCAGGGCAGGAACTCCTGAAGGCAGGAACTGAAGTAGAGACCTTGGAGGAACTTTGGCTTGCTCCCCCGGTTTCTTCTCCCTGGCTAGCTCAAATCTCTCTCTTATACAGCCCAGACCCACCTGCCCAGGGATGGCATCGTGCACAGTGGGCTGGGCCTTCCTATATCAACCAATAATCAAGAAAATGCCCCCCAGACACACCCACAGGCCAGTCCGATGGAGGAAATTCCTCAGTGCAGGGTCCCTTTTCCCTGGTGTCTGTAGTTTGTGTCAAGCGGACAAAAACTAACAAGGTATGCCTTTCCATCCTGCTAGCCCCCAAGAGAGTGAGCCCCCCCCCACCAGCCCCCCAGCTTCTTGACCACTGGAGTTTCAAATCTGTTTCTCCTCCTGTGAGTAACTAAAGGGAAACAGCAAAACATACCCAGGTCTAAGGAGCCCAGGGCGTCCCTCTGTGGCCCTGCCCCTGTCCCCACTTCCTCCTGGTCAGACTGCCGAACAGAAGGAAGCTCGTTTTTCTCTTACAGTCAAATAGACGATGGCTGAAAGTTTTTGGTCTTGCTGTAAACTGTACATTAGTTTATCTAGTACCAGACGTCACTGATGATCTAAGGTATAATTTCAACTACTGTACTTGATGGAAACCAGAGAACAGCCTGTTTCCGTTCCAGTTTCTGATAAAGATGTCTTTTTTGGAGATGCAGCTCCCTGCCCTGTGATGTTTGGGTGTCTGCCTGGCCCTCTGATCTCTTCATTATAACAAGCATCCTGGCTGGGTTTGTTGGCCTCTGA